TTTTCTGAACACTATAGGGCTCTCAAGAGTGATAAACCAAGAGGCTTTATGTTGAGGTCACCACTCACTTGGCACATAGTAATAAAGTTAGCCTCTCCTTCATAGGCTTGTGATCTGGTGTTTTGGTCTCTTCCTGGGTAATGTAAATTCTCCTGGGCAGTTTCTTTCAGAAAATGCCAGTTCCATCACAGTTGAAAACTTGATGTGTCATCATTTCGAAGTGGTTGGTGTAATTTTCAGCAGCCCTTTTATTAGCACTGGCTACTTCACCATGCCTAGTTATGCTATGAACCCTAGTTCACGCTTAAAAATTGTGAAACCACCCCTTACTGGCATGAAATGTTTCACCATTAGCACTCATTCATGGATTATCATTTATGAGATCTGCATTTATAGCCCTGGTTTTTTTCACAAATTATAGACTCAGGCTATAACCTGCCATCTGCCTTTCATTTATCCACATTTAGCCTTTTTACCTCATCTAACACTGTTGATCATGATTTACTAATTTAAGTAACACCTTTAGCAATACTAGCTTCCTTATACAAATCTTTTCTCCATAAGATTGTCAAGATGATAGATTTCAACATGCTGTACATATTAGCAAGATTAGTCACACAAATGCCATTCTTATATTTCTCCACAATTTCCTTCTTCTTTTTTATGATTGCTTTATCTTCTCTTCCTTCACCTCTTTTCTATCTCTTTTGGGGCCATTTTGATAGTAGTAATCTTAGCGACTATATAAAGCACTGACCAAAATCACATCCATAAACATGCACATCTGAACTGAGACTGACACATATGCTTATCTGGCATCACAAGTCTTTGTTTACAACTACACAAGCAATCGGCACTCAGGTGATAACTCAAGACTTTTGTCCTAAGTTAACTAAAATTCTGGTCATAACTCAAGTTGTATGTGAGACTGATCGTAACTTGAGGGTCCACTGTATAAGTCAGCGGCATTAAATCTAATCACATTATTGTGTAACATCACCATCCATCTCCAGAACTTTTTCACCTTCCCAAACTGAAACTCTGTACCTATTAGGCACTAACTCCCCACTCCCCACTGCCTCTCCTCAAATTCTGGGCACCAGCATTCTACTGTCTCTGAGTTTGCCTGTTGTAGGTACCTGTGGGAGAGGAATCATCCAGTATTTGTCCTGTTGTCTGGCTTATCTAGCTCAGCACGGTCTTACATGTTGTAGCATGTGTCAGATTGTCCTCCCTGTTTAAGGTTGAATGATGCCCCATTGTATGTGTCCATTTCATTTACCCATTCATCTGCTGGTAGACCAGGGTGTCTGTACCTTTCAGCTACTGTGGATAATACCGCTGTGACATCCACATGTCCATGTATCTCCTAAGAGTTCCTACTTTCAGTTCTTTTGGGTATATATCTCTAAGTGGAACCGTTGGATCTTATAATAATTCTGTTACTGTACTGTTTTCTGGATATTTGACATTTGACAACTTGCCCTCCGAAAAGGAAGTAGTGGTCCTCTCCCTCCCTCCTGTAACAGGGTTTCTTGGTAGCACTTCCACATCAATCTTTTATCTTTTCTAGCATGGTATGAAAAAGTAATTTATTAATTTGCATAAGCTGTTAAACCTCTTTTATCATTTTGAGGCAGGGTCTCTTGCTACATTGCCCAGGTAGGATTCAAACGAGGTCCTCCTGCCTCAGCCTTCCAAGTGCTAGGATTACAGGTGTGTGCCTTCACGCCTGGCTAAAGATCATTTAAAAGTCTTTTGAATGCTGTATTTCTCCTGTTACCTGTATGCAGGATTTGTGTCACTTGCCTATAAGGCTCATGTTGGTGGCCTTTTTCTTAACTGATTTGTAGATGAGGCGTATAGCTTTGTCCTGTGTTGTAAATATTTTTCCTGTTTACCATTTGTATTTTTTGTTTTGTCTTGTCACTCTATTCTTTAGTTTCTTAGTTTTATACTATGTATAGAAAGGGTTTCCTTCAGCCTCAGCCCCACATAGAGCTGAAGATGTGTTGAGCTTATGTGGAAGTTCACGTGTGACACTGCTGGGGCCTCAACTCACTCAGAGCTTTGGACTAGTGGGCTTGCGGGCCCAGGCAGGGTGTGAGTGTGCAGGGAATAGGGCCAGGGTAGAACACAGGGTTCATGTGAACCTATCTGCAAACTAAATGATGATCAGGAAGTGCTACCTTTATAAACTATATTTTTATCTTTTCAGTGTACCATCTTCCCAGAGCAGTGGCAGCCCCCTTATTTTAACTCCTCCCCTCTTTTCCCAAGCAGGACTGCTAGAGCCTTCTCGGGAGCAAATGTGGAGAACAAGGGACAGTCCTGCAGACGCTGACCTTGGGTAAAGAGAGAGGCTTGGGTACTTTATTCTGTAATATTTATTTTGGTCTAAGTAGTAGAGATCCAACTTTATTTCCCACCACCATCTTTCCACAGCTGATTGAAATGCATTTATCACATGCTAAATTCTTGTACATATATATTCATCCAACAGATATTTACTGGACAGGAGATGCTGGTGCCTTAGACCATGGTGGTAAGCAGTGGAAGTGAAAATGGTCAGACAGGGATTTCCTAATGGACTGGAGAGGGGGTGAGAGGAATCGATAACTACAGAATTGGCCTGCATCACTGGAAAGATGGGGTTACTATCAGTGACATGAGGAGACTGTGGTCTGGGGATCAGTGTGGGATATGTTGAGTTCAAGGTGGTTGTCAGGCCTCTAGGTGGGGATGCCTGCCCAGTGCAGTGGGATGTTCACGTGCTATCCTTGGGGGAGATATGGCCCCTCTGCATGGAGGTGACACTGAGAGGTCACAGGCAGCACAGAGTCCAGGAAAAAGTGAGACAGGAGAAAGCACAGAGGTGGAAGAGGCCCCGAGTGTGACACCAAGAAGTGGAAGTGTCAGGGAGGGCGGCTAATGCTGCTGACCACCCACTGCTCTGCAGAGGAAGCTTGAAAGCTGGCTGCTGGCGGGAGCCTCAGGGTGAACTGGGGACCTTGACAGGTACAGTTTCCTTCTTGTTACTCTTTTGGTCCCATCTTTTTGTTCACAAAAAGCATCAAATTCTTGAAATTTCTGGGGTTTAGGGATAGAGACCAGTGTGTGGTACACTTGTTATACTCAGCCAACAGAACTGCTCTGGCTATTATTGAATGTTTATTTTTCCATGTAAATTTTGGAGTCAGATTGTCTACTTCTCTTACTAGCATCTCACTAAGTCTACCTTCTCTCTCTACAGCAGTAGAATTTCTGTCCAGGACATCTCCCCACTCATCAGAGAAGTGGTCCTCAGCTGCCTGGGGAACAGCACTTGAGTGCTTCAACTACCAATGAGAAGCCAGGACCCTGCTGGTCATCCTATAGCTCAAGGGCCTGCAATGGGGACTTGCCTGGTCCAAAGTACCAATGTGCTGCACTGGAGAAGCCCAGCTTTGGATGCTGGCAATTGGCTGTCTGCCAAGGCTGTTCTCTACCTGTTCTTGTTCTGTTGCTGAGTGCTGCTGAGCTTTTTCACCTTCAAAAATGCTCTCGGATAGTCTTGTTTTGTTTTTGTTTTTTGCAGTACTGGGAATTGAACTCAGTCTTTGCACTAGCACTACATTCCCAGCCTCTCCCCTTTACTTTTGATTTTTGAGGCATGGTGCTAAATTGTCTGGGCTCAAACTTGTGATCCTCCTGCCTCAGCCTCCCAGAGTAGTCTTAAAAAGAATATTATGGGAATCTGCCCAGTAGCTAATCCCTTTCGGTATTTATGTGGTATCCAAGGTATCCAGCAACAGCACAGATGCTAATCAAGCCAAATTTGGACCCTGCCAGCTTCCCTTATAGCTGTAGTAAAAACTCGGTGATCTGGGCTGCCTATCAGATATGCTGAGGGAGAAGCTTTCTGAGAAGACCACCCAGAGTCCTCTGTCCCTGCTGGAGCCAGTTTCAAAGGGTCTGGGCTGCTGGCCTCAGTGGCAGTTGCTAACCAGCTGGCACAGGGCAGGGCTGCCTCAAAGGACTGTGGGCTTTGACACATCCTCTTCATCATTGCAGTTGACTTTCCACATTCTCTTGCTGAATCCTGGCTGATACCCATTGCAGATACCTTGAGATCATCATACCGTGAATCACCAGAGGACATAGATTTCCATTGCAGACCTGAGACCTACTTCTACAGACCTCAGTATGAAATTTTCCAGAGCTGAGGAAGATGTGTGACCGAGGAGGCACAGGCTGTTGTGGAAGCCCCACTCCAGTGGACCCACGAACGGGGTTCCACTCAGGCACTGCAGGCCTAGAGGGCAGTCTCACTAATTTTAGCCAGGCTTCTACTTCATAGTTTCAGAAAATGAAAAGGACCCACATGTCCAGACTGTCCCCCAAATCTAAGGCAGCTGAGGAGGAGGTGTTTATTCATTTTCAGCACACTCCCAATTCCTGGCCTTCACTTGGCTTGGGCTCACCAGGAAGGCCTCGGTCTCTGGTTCTCTGGGAGGGCACTGCTCCACTCTCCCTCATGTCCCTCTCCACTCTGGATGGGATGACAGTAACTTGGCCTGGAGGCCTCCTGGGGACCTGGGGCCTGGTCAGAGGGACATAAGCTGGGAGGTGTGGCCCCTCCCCCTCATGCATCTGCCTTTGGGTTTTTTTTTTTTTGGTACCAGGGATCGAACTCGGGTCCTTGTGCTTGCGAGGGCAGGAGGTGGAACCACTGAGCTAAATCCCCAGTCCTTGCATTTCCTTTTGTTTCCAACCTCTGGGCACTGCTGCCCTCACTGGTACCTTTGTCAAGATGGGAAAAAGCAAAGGGAAAAAAAATCAGTCACCAAGTCCGTGTCTGCTTTCCCCAGAAACAAGTCTTTGTGGGGATGGAGGATCCACTTGAGATGGGATCCCTTAAGGGAGTCTGCCAACTCAGGGTTCTGGTTGGCTACAGTGCAAATATCCAAAGCTGGGAGGAGTCAGAAACTTTGTAAAGTACTGGGAGACATTCAGACATGGTGAAGTATAGAACAAGAAGAAATGTTTCAAAAGGTAGCTGAACAGTCTGAGATGACTGCCTTGCTTTCAATGTTTGCTGTCAAAGCAGGGATGGGTAGAGAAGGGAACTCTGGTGAGTGTGAAGATATTACAGTGCTTGGACTTTCCTGTGGATCCCATCCCCCCTGGGAGGGCTTGCTCCTGGTAGCTCTGCTTTTTAGGGCTTACTTGGTACCACCAAATTAAGCTTTTTTTGTAATGTCCATAGGGCTTGATCAGTTTCCATGGCAGTAACAGGCTCCAGTTCACACTGACCCTAGGAGAGGTGCACTGAGCTCAAGGGAGGCACAAGCCCATCTGCAGCCATAGGTACTGAGGAAGTGCTTCTTGGGAAAGTGGCCGTGATGGCAACTGGACAGTTTCTCAGAAGGAAGGCTCAGGTCAAAAGTACTTGGCATTTTCCAGATCTTTGGTGGATCCATTAGCATTGCCATCTATTCCCACAAAATATTACTTATTCCTTAAAGAGGAACCAAGATTTTTTTTTTTAGTTCTTTTATTGGTACATTTTAGGTATACAATTTGTTTACATTTATCATTGGGTGTTTGTATCTGTACATGATATATCTTGGGAGGAACCAAGATTCAGAGACTCCTAATACAGAAATCCAAATGCACAGAAAAGGTCCTGGCTCATTTGACAAATATACATGATAGAGTATATGATCAATACATGATAAGAATGAATCTGAAAGAAAAAAAAAATCTTTAGCTGATGTGAATGAACATTAACCTTGGGATTCCATTTTTTTCTTAGGAATTTCCAATTCCCCTTACCATTTAACCACACAACCCATACACCAGCTCTTCCTGCTGGTTCTAACTGGTCCAGGGGTGTCACCTGGCAACAGTCTTGGCTATGACGAGAGCTCCTTGGTGGCAGTAGTCAGTAAACAAAGCAGGGCATCAGAGCCAGGACTGGCTTTCTTTCACATGTGGTGCTGTTCTCCTCAGCAGAGCTGCCCTGTAATATACCCCAGTGTCCTATCACCCCCCACTTGCTACTCCTTCCTCTCTGGCTGGGCAGAAAACCTGAGGGATCCTGACTCCTGGATGAAGAATTTCTTAGGGAAGCAAGACAGTGTCTTTGTCTTAGGTCTCAAAGGATGAAAAGAAATATGTTATATCCACCTGATTTCCTAAAAAATAACTTGTGGAAAAGGGCTAAATTGACTGGCGGCTCGAGACCAATTTCTTGGTCCAAATCCTTCAAGTAATAATCATGTATTTTGGCTTGGTATGTGTCAAAAGAAGTAGAATCCATCCTCCTTCTCAAGTAACTCTGCCCTGTATATCCTGGGCTGGGTGGGTTAAGAGAATGCCCAAGGAACAGCAATCACTAATGAGTAGGTTTAAGTCCAGGCTAAGGCACATGGCTTCTCATTTTGTACAATACAGACCACCAAATCATCCCAACCCTGTCCATGGCCCAAGCCCAAGATGTGTACAGCTCATCTCATAGCTCAAAGGACTTAGTCCACAAACCCATGGCTTTGGCAAGTCTGATGCTTCCATTCCCCCAAGCATCCACATGGTCTGCATGCCTTGCTAGACCTGAGCTTGCAGCTCTTGAAGGAGCTCTCTGGCCAGTTTTGCTGACCTAGGGGCTTCACTGCAAAGATAATCCCATCTGTATAAGGTCTGGTCAAGAAAGCCAATAATCTCGTAAGTTATCTCATCAGTGCAGGCCATCTGCAGTGAGAGAAAAGAGAAGGGAAATTAACATTCTCCAGCAGATTCCTCTCTCTCCAATGGATACCCATAATTACCCTGTCCCTGAAGGTCACAGCATTTCTACCAGCTCCAAAGGAAAGCTACCACGGCGAACATTTTGTTTGTGAGGCGATTAGCACAGCAAGTCTGTGCTCAGAGGCTGGCTACACTGTGAGCCAAGGCACACCCTGGTGACCACCATGCCCACATCAAGGTTCTACAGCCAAAGCCTTGGCTCACAGGGACAAACGTGTGCTGCTCAGAGAGAGAAGGGTTTCTGGAATGTCCAGTCACAAGCTTTGGGATTATTTACCCTAGGGAGCAAAGGCAGAAAGCATGCTGTGGCTTGACTTTCTGCAAAAGGCTCACACTACCACGAGAATTGGAAAGTGCCACCTGTTTGCACACAGCCTGATCAGTGGCATTCCTGGGCCAGCAAACCAGCCCACTTGCTTTTCAAAAGGCATCTAAGGTTTTAGCACCTGATTCCTGCAGGGAAGCAGGAAACAGGCATTGTTAGTTCTGCTAAATATGGCCTTGAGGCGTTCTTACTTGTTGGTGCCCATATTTTCCGAAGAACTTCAGTTGAGAAAAAAGAGGTGGGGCGGGGGGGGGGGATCCCACAAGTTAGCTGTGCATACAATTTATTGGTGTTTTTTTTGTGGGGGATAGATACAAGCAGCATTGAGAAGCCCCAAGTTTTTGGAAGAGTAATCTGCACATTTGCTTTGTGTGTGTCTTGTTTATATAGAACAACAAATGTTCAGCCAGAGTGGCCCCAGGTCAGTCTCCTCTTGTTCTCTGCATGGGCGCTTCTGGTGGGTGACGGCCACTTCTGCAGAGCACTCTGAGGCAGGGAAGGTGCCCCAAGGGCTCTAAAGGTACAGTGACTGTGCCCGCCATGGGGTGTCCTGCCCACTGGGAGCCAGTGCAGCTCAGTTCAGGGCAGATACCAGGTCCAGGCTCGGAGGTGACTGTGTACCCTCCGAGCTCACAAAAAGCTGTGTTGGGGCCCTGTGATGTGACATCCATGCTGCTGGAGAAGGAACAGGGAGCCAGACCAGGGCTCACAGCAGGGAGGAACCAGCGGGTGCCTATGCAGTGAAGAGAAGCCTGTGAGTGGAGGAGCCACCTGCCCATGGAGAGGGTCCGGGCACTCGCACTCCTGCAGTCCCATGTTCAGATCAGCAGCACCGCTGTGTGGTGGGGAAGCAAACTGAACTTGGCTGTGTGACCCAGTGGCCTCTCTGTGGGTGACCACCAGCCTGGCCACCTTACATGTTCAGTTTCCCCTACTAGTTGAAACTGGATGGAATAACTGAGGCAGGGCCTTCTCTTACCCTGGACAGGGCTCCAGCTACTCACAGGGTGACAGCACATAGGAAGAGAGTTGGGCAGGAGGGCACAGGGTGTCACCCCAGAAGTAGCAGAAGTAGGGTTGAGGTTCCATCCACAGCTCTTGTGGCATAAGCATGGGTCAGAGTTCAGGTGAAGAAAATGCCAACATTTTCATGATCCAAAATCGTCTGTCGTTGACTTTTAAATTTAGATTTGCAGTGCTAGTACAGACGTCCCATTTACCCAGACCTGTCCCCTCCTGTCACTATCTTATATTAGTATGGCACACGAGTCACCATTAATGAACCCATATTGATGTGTTATTAACTACAGTCCAGACTGCATTCTGATTCCCTGTCTTTCTCTGCTATCCTTCTTTGTCCCAGGACCTATGCACAAGACCATGTGACACTTAATTGTCTAGCTTCCTTTAGCTGTCAGTGGCTGTGTGTGACAGTTTCTCCAACTTTCCTTGTTTTCATGAACTTGATCGATGGTTTTGAGGCATTTTGGGAGGAATTTTGTTGATTGTCTCTGAACTGGATTTTGTCTACTGTTTTTCCTATGAGACCTAGGCTATAGGTTTTTAGGAAAAGACCGCAATGATAAAGTGCCATTTTTTTCACATTAGATCCAGGTTCACATTTTGAACACGACTTAGCCCCATGGAAGTTAACCTCAATCATCCACAGTAGCTATTATACCTTACAGTCAGCAGAGATGTAGATGCTAATACTAAGATATATGGACATTTTTTTTAACTCTCAAGTACAGAGATTTTTCTTATTTACAACTTTCTATTGTTCTGCTTTACTATGTTTTGCGATTTGCCCCCCGTATATAAATGTGGTATTTTGATATGAAAAGGTTGCCATAGTTAAGCTTATTAATACATCCAGCACCACCTCACATAGTGTGTGGGGGAAGGTATGGCTATGTATGGTGAGAATGCTTAAGATCTTCTCTCAGCAAATTTCAATATAAATTATTGATAATTATTATCATCATGCTGTGCATTAGGCCTCCAGAATATAGTCATAACTGCAAGACTGCACCCTTTGACCAACATCTCTCCACTTCCTCTCCCTGACTCCTGGTACCCAGCTTCTTTTCTGTTTTGTTAGGAACCTCTCTTCTGTCAGTTCCATGTACAGATGAGCTCATGCACAATTTGTCTTTTATGTCTGGTTATTTCACTTAGCACCATGTCTTCCAGGCTTGTCTGTGTTATCACAGATGTACACTTTATGAGTCCACAGCAGATTTCTGAGTGTGCCTGTGCTGGGCTCAGGTCCTGACAGGCCAGTCCTCTTCCACTCTGTAGCCCCCCATAACACCAGGTGGGGACTGGCCTGTTCCACACCACTGTCCTATCAGGGCAATGACAATCTTCTGGCCCTGGTTTTCTCAGGTTCTTGTCAGGTATTGGGATTTTCCTTGTACTCAAATTCAGACAAGCTGGGCCTCTGGGAATATTTCTTTCTTCATGTGGCTGCTGACTGTATGGGTGGTTTTCATTTGTAAAAATTCATCAACTTTACATTTTCTGTATTTAAATGTCAATAAAAAGTAAAAACAAAACCAAAAATAAAGCTCTCAGGGCCAGCAATGTTGGTGCTCACCTTTTTTAAAAAATGTGAAATATGTGTAACACAAATCTGCAGTCTAACCATTTTTACAGTTCAAGACTATGATGTTCACAGTGTTTGCACCCGGCACCATCATCCATCTTTAGAACTTTTTCATATTCCTAAACCACAATTCCATACCCTAAAAGCCACTAACTCCTTATCACCTAAACCCCTGCAAGCTCCAGTCTTCTTTGGTCACTATGAATCTGACTACGTACCGTACCTCGCAAGTGGAATCATATAGCATATGTCCGGTGACTAGTTTACTTAGCGTAGTGACTTCCAGGTTCATCCACATTACAGATGCACCACAACTACTTTCCTCTGTACACACAGAGCACATTTTGTTTACCCTTTCATCTGCTGAGTTATTTGCACCTTTTGGCTATTGGGTATAATGCCGGTAAGAATAGTGGTATACAAATATTTGTTCAAGCATCTGCTTCCAATTCTTCTGTGTATATATGTAGGAGTAGAATTGCTGTGTCCTATGTTCCATGTTTAACTTTCTGAGGAACCACCAAACTTTTCCACAGTGGCTGCACCATATTAATACTCCCAACTGGAAATGGATGAGTATTCCAATTTGATACATCTTCAGCAAGATTTAGTTTTTCTTCTGCTGATAATAGCTGTCCTGAAGGGTGTGAAGCGAGTCTCAGTGTGGTTTTGATTTCCATTTCCCAAAGGACCAGTACTGACAGCCAGTTCATCTGTTTTTCCTTTTGTTGCCTGAGTTCTTGGTGCCACATCTAATGTCATGAATGGTGTCACTTTTGACTTGGAGCACTCTTTCCCCTTCCAATCACCTGGGCTTCAGGAAGGGTTTGTTTGTAATTAACTGATTTTTCCTTGAGTTAAAAGCAGTGCTCTGACCTGTTGCCAGGATGAGCGCCAAGGCTGTTCGGTAGTGCACTCTCACTACAGCCTGCTTTTGTCCCGTGAGGAGGAGCAGGCTGTGCTCTGTGACGAGGGACAGGAGCGCTGGCTTTCACCATGGGTCTTGGCAGCAAGCCAAGTAGCCTGCAAGATAGTGCTCCTGGCTCTGTGCCTTCCCTTTATCCTCTGTGATCTGCAGGTGTTGCATGGGAAGGCCCGGGGTCCATCCCAGCTGTTACCCTCCCTGGCCCTTCACTTATGTGGGAAAAGCATCCCAGGCACACGCTCCCCAAAGCCACGACCCTTGCCAGATAACACCCCTATGCCCTGTCACCTGGGTGCACTGGGATTGGAGAAAAAGGAATACTTACCAGGGTGATGGCTTCTCGGGCAATTGTACGGCCTCCTGGAGTCCAGAGCAGGAAGTTCAGAAACAGGTGCCTGATCAGCTGTCCACACACAGACTGTGTGGGGTCTGCGTTGCTGCCCTCTCCAGTGGCTGCCTGCAGCTCCTTAGCAGAGAGGGGAGTGCTTCTGGACAGCATCAGAAGTTGGAGGCGGCTGAGCACTGCTTCCACCTTTGCCTGGGCAGTGGGATCAAGGATGAGAGATTAGGGGAGAACAGGACTCAGAGGCCTCTAGGGCAGTGATGGTGCACCTTTTAGAGGTTTTGATGATAAACAGCCCACTGTGGCATCCATGCCATAGGTTTGTCACCACTGCTCTAGGCTTTGCTTATGTTTTGAAGCAGGCCCTCAGGAAGAGGAGCAGCCTGGGGCTCCAGAGAGAGCGGCCAAGGCCCAGTTCACACACCGCTCCACACAAACCCAAATGGGCATGATAGAAACTTGACTTTCTTTTCATCTTGCTCACCAAGCAGCCAGGGCACCATGCCAGGAATTGACCTTTTTCAGAATGAATGGAAACAGAAAAGTCCTCCACAGAACGTAGTCAGATTTTTCCTATATTGTGGGGAAAAGAACAAAAGGTTCCTTGAAGACTTGCCTCACACTAGGCCACAAATCAATTAGAGCGCAGCGGCTTTGGCTGAGCCAGTGTGGGGAGGGCCATCCGGGCCTGCCTCCACCTCTGCCTCCACTTCGCCTTGCTGTCTCAGGCAGACAGACACAGACAGAGAGACACAGACAGACAGACAGACAGACACACACACACACACACACACACACACACACACAGGGCCTGTTTTGTTTTGATTCAGACACTGGGACAATCTGTTCATACATGTTTAAAGCTCAAGCAGAGGTCATAAGTTTGCGGAATTCACATAATAATGGTAATTGTTCTAAGTCTGTGGGTTGTTTTTACATAAAAAATATTTATTTCATGCTGAGTCTTCTGCTTGCTATAAGAATGGTGCATCAAGTTGTGACTTGGAAAACAAAGCAAATACTGAAAGCCATAGATCCAAAATGCCACATGGAACTTATAACTTCTGAAAGAATACTTAGGCCTGTTCTGAGAGTTCCCATGATCAGAGCTGCTTTTTCCCTGAGAATGAAGGCCACGCTCCACGCTGTCTGTCACAGCGGCAGCATACTGGGAGCGTTGTGTGAGCTCTTTGGCCTACAGGCGAGGCCGTGAGAAACACCACCACAGGGCACTCCCACGGAATACGCAGCATTCCCACACGCACTGTGCCCATCTGTCTTCAGCTGATGGTACCATAGAACTGGGTCTGAAGAATGGCCAGGGCTCAGGAGGCTAAGTCTTTACACCCATTTCCTTCTTCGTTGGCTCTTGGTTTCTCACTCTTATCTAGTAGCCCCTATCTTCTTTTCTATTTTGTCCTGGACTGATTTTCCATGTCCAAAAGCTTCTGCATGACATGCCAGTACTTCAAATGCTTTCCAGTTTTTTTCAGGAGAAAGGCATAAGCTTTCCTTTTTTTTGGTACCAGGGATCGAACTCAGGACTCTGCACTTGCGAGGCAGGCGGTGGAACCACTGAGCTAAATTCCTGGCCCCAAGCTTTCTTTTGTTTTCTTTTAAAAATATTGTTTTTATTGAACATTATAAAAACGTATATATGCTCACAATGGAAAAATAAGAAAAAAATGTAAATAATCTATAACTCTGCCATCAAGAGTTAAGTTAATAATAATATACCACTCACTATATTTGTCTTGTATCTCACATGCTTTTTTTTTCCACAATGTACCATGAGCAGTTTACCATACTACTGAATGTATTCTCCAATAATAACATTAGGATACAGACAACTATCTTACTATTAAAAGTTTAAGCCATTTCCCATAGTTGCAGTTATAAACAATGCTGTAATGACTATTCCCATACATAAATCTTTGTATTGATCTTTATTTCTTTAGAATAATTCCTAGAAGTAGAATGACAAGGTTAAAGGGTTTGAATCTTAGCCTACATCTTAATGGTATCTATACAGACATTTTCAGGTCTTCATCATGTTCCAATTCACTTAGCAAAGGAGATGAACACTGTTGCAGAGAAGGTGGCCTGCCAGGGAAGGTGTCCTCTGGACTGGATGTCATGCTGCCAGCCCTGATTGGCCGTGGGCATTCCCACAGGAGCGGTTTCATTAAGCCTTTTAAGTAACACCAAGGCCCACGTATTTCCAAGGTCCATCAAATCACACAGTGATCATACTTTTTTCTTTTTCTGTATGGGGATTGAACTCAGGTCCTTGCGCTTGCGCAGCAGGCGGCAAAACCACTGAGCTAAATCCCCAGCCCTTAATACTTTCTAACAAAGTTCACAGTGTGTTCTAAGGTCACCTGACAGACCTTTAAGGGATAAAGCTCACAAAGCTCAGGGGCAGAGAGGTATTTATTACTAGTTAATCTTGGTGCGCTTCCTCCCAAGATGTCAGGCACACCAATGCCTGAGGTCAGGCACTTCTGCACTACAGACATGAAGCTCTGGCTTCAATCACAGGCAGATGGCTGCCTCTGATGGGACAGCCAAGAACTATTCCAAATGAATTAATCCACTTTTATTCAAGATACCTAAGCATCTCCACATCTTCTAAGTAAGAATTATGTATAGGTTTATTTAAAGAAAGAAAAAAAAACCAAACCAAAAACCCAAGTTAACTAGTAAAAAGTTGCGGCAAAGCAACTTTCTAGAAATTTAACCTTATTGGACAATTTACTTTATTGTACTTCAAAAGCGAATCTTTCTTTGTCAGTGTCTACGATCCATATGGAATTTAACACATATTTACCAACTTAAATTTATACAGAACTAAATATGAAATCCATATAAAAAGGCTTTAGAAGTCATGAGTGCTTCATATATCTTAATTATTACTGTTAAAAATAAGATGATGAAAAACATAAGCTAGGGTTTTCCTTAATTAGTTTAATGTGCTATTTTAAAGGGGATGGCAGGCTTTGTTTTTTTTTTGTACCGGGGATTGAACTCAGGACCTTGTGCCTGCGAGGCAGGCAGCAGAATCATGGAGCTAAATCCCCAGCACTCAGGCTTTGTTTTTAATCAGATAGCAATCCTCAAATAAATATGTGGATTATGAAATTTTTTAAAAAAATGTTTTATTTTGATCCAAAAAATTATCCTTAAATTTCACCTTTTAAAAATTTAGAACTTTTTCTTTCCCCTGCCATCAAGCTTTTAAACAAATGAAATATACAAACATTTGTACTGGTCTCTGCTTTTTTCAAAGAACAGAAAATACAAAGCAAATAAGAGCATTGTTCTGTACATAATGAAACCTGTTCCTTTTAATTATTAAAATCAGCCCCAAACATTGGCAGTTGAAGTTTTAAAAACCAGCAAATAAATGTTTGCAAGGGAGGTGCCAGTGCCTTTAATCAAAGCACAGCTTCCTATAATTATTGTATCCCACATAAAATAACAACTGCCTTTGCTACAGCTACCCTATCCTGTACTTAGCTGCTCTGTTATTTAGGAAATGACCAAGTCCTTTCTCAGAAGTAGAGTGGCTAACATCACGTCATCATGCTAGTAAGTGGTCTGAACAGAGCTGTGAGGGGAGGCCCCGCTGACTGATCAGAAAAAACAGGGCAACCAGGCTGAGGGTGGGAATGAGAGACACCAGCAGACGGTGGGCTCTGCTTGGAAGGAGCTTTAGCCCTGTATGGGATCTCCAGGGGGACTGAGGCCCAAGGCAGGGAACTGGGTAGATGAGGGCAGATGGGTGCTGAACAAGGGCAGACAGAAGGTTCCAGGAGAGGGAGACAGCCTGACAGCATGAGTAGCATCAATTCTCCAGGCCATGCTGTGGTGGCAGGAGCACAGCACTGAGCATAAGGCAGCCCATGTCCCTGGTGGTCCATACAAGTGTCTATTGGTTCTTAGACATATGCCTTGACTTCCCAGAGCTCAGGGGCCAGGGTCAGTGAAAGGCAAACCCACCCAGGCACCTCCCTGCTCCTGGGGCCTGTTACCCACCATGGTCTGTGCTCTCTGCTGACTCGAGTCCAGAGGCCTGTAGTAGAATGCCAAGAGCCACAGCAGTGCTGCCACAGGGGCTTCTGTTTCTGACCTCAGTAACTGCTCAGCCGCCATATCAGCCCAGCTTCCAAAGTGAATGAACAAAAACCAGCTCTCAAAGGGGTCTACACAGGACCTGGAATACAGACAAGACACATGGCAGCCAGCAACCTCACTGCTTTTTCCTTTTGGTTCTTTTATTTTGTTTTTTGACACAGGGTTTTGCTAAGTTGCCCAGGGTGGCCTCAAGCTTGCAATCTTCCTGCCTTAGCCTCCCAACTAACTGGGATTACAGACATATGCCACCACTGCGCCTAGCTTTCCTTTTGGTTCATAAAGCAACTTAAATGTTTATAAATGGCTGGCTTAAACGGTACTGACAATGAAGCATGGTATGCAAGGAGTACAAGTTAGAAAACTTACCTAAGTGCCACTTGGAACCAACACAGGTTATTCATGTGTGAGGACTTGTGGACAGTTAAGTCTTTATATCTGGGTACTGTCAGTGACTAGGCTTCCAGAAAAGGAGATCAGAGGTTGTGACCAGCAGGAGCAATGCCAGATGGCACCCTTGCTTTCCACATGAGTGTGCCACTGGGCTGAGGTGGAAAATGCAGCCTTCCAGCCACAGGGCAGCACCTAGGCGGTGCCACAGTGAAGGAGGGAGGCTCTGGGAGTCCTGATGCAGATCAGAGAAAGGCTGCCAGCCTCCACCCTTCAGGACAGAGGGGTGGTAAGAGGGCACAGGCAAAAATGTACCCTACCTTTTCTGACAAAGACACTAGGTTCCAGTCAGTGTTTTAGCAGTAATGAATGTTTAATGAGCATGGCATTCTCCCCGGTCCTCTAACCCTGGAAAGTTAAAGAGATTTTTCCAAGCTAGGCCCTTGTCTCACTGGAAACAAGGAGCTATGATTCCTCTGTAAAGGGTACATAAGATAAGGACCAGCACAGCCTCACCACGCTGACACCTCCCTGGAAAATGGGATGGCCTGAGGGCAAGTCAGAGGTACACTCTGCTGGCCTGGGGGAGTGACAGGAATAGGAGTGTTTAGGTTGCCCTATGGTGTCTCCAAGCTGGACTTGACCCATGTCCCTCTTCATGGCCCGTGGAATTTCCCCACTCTACCCACCTCTCTGGCCCTGCTGTCTGGGTTCTTCCTGAGAACACACGATTAAATGTTCTGAGATCGAGTTTGCAGAACGGAGAGGAAAAGGAAGGGTGGGAGTCTTGGCTTTGTTTCCTTATCCCTAACAAAGCGGAAGCAGCTCACCCACAGGTCAAGCTAAAACTCGAGGGCCACACTGGCCACAGGTGGCCCAGATGTCTCAGAGTGACAGGGACTCCCCATGTTCTCCCTGGAGTTGACCTCACAGACAAGCACACTGAGCATAGGTACCCTCCCACTCTTTCTACCAAGACCTGCCTGTGCCTGTCCATGTGACCAACAGAGGAAAGTGACTATGCTTCCTCTCAGAGCTTCCCACGGGGCACTCCCAAGTCTAGCTGAGGGCAGGTGCCCATGAAGTCAGGAGTTTAGCTTTCTTCTCCCACAGGGACACCAGGAAGGGTGTGCAGGGGTCGATGGCAGGTGGTAAATGTAGCTAGCACACTGCTCCCCATTTGGCCACCAGTTCTCTTCCCATTTGTTCCCTGTTGGTCAAAACCCTGGAGAGGGGGACAGAATGGCACCAAGACCCTCAGTCAGTGAGTATGGATACAGAGTACCCATCATACTCTGTGCTGGCTCAGAAATGAGACCAGAGAGTCTGGAGAGAGAAGGGTTAGAAGAGGGGCAAATAAGATTAACCCAGTAGGCTAGCACAGACAATGAATACAGTGTCATCTACACTCCAAACATGAGTGAGTCAGAGGACACCAAAGAGAGGACACCCAGCAAACCTGCATGTGAATGCTTTTGGGAAGACAGCACATATAAGAAGACAGCATGTATAGAGGGTACTGAATACCATGCTATTAAGTATTATGCTAGAATTGATTTTCTAATTTGGGAAAAAAATTTACTGAAGAGGAAGAAAACAACTCACAACTTTTATGGCAATTAAAAAAGTGGGGGGAAAGGAAAAACAATACATTGGATACTCCCTCTTGGAGGGAGTTCAGTGGTTCCTTCTGTCTAGAGGTCTCAGAGACCTGAGGACCAGAGATGCCTTTCCATCTATGTGGCCAGGGCCCCCTGCATGTGGCCACTGCTTTTTTCTAGGATCTGTCCTTTTCATCATTATGCTCTAAAGCATGACCTCACTCTGGCTGGCTCGATGCAGGCCCGTGATATCGTCTGCTTCCTGCCTTCCTTGGGCAGCGACAGTGCTTACCAGTCTGGTGAGCATCCAAGAAGGTCTTCATCTGTCAGGGAAGAGGGGGGTAAAGGGAAGCCACCTGGAGGTTGGCTGAGGTGGTCAGTGTTTGCTCACCCACAAGCCTGGTCTTCCACGGCTTCTCGGAGCATCTGGGAAATACGCTGCAGAAGCTGGAGGCGGCATTCCTGTGGGGTGTCTGCAGGGCAGAGAGAGAGTCGGGGACAGAGCAAAAGCCAACCTCACCCAGAAGTGTCTGCAGCTAAGCTGGGAAGTGTCTGGGGGAAATGCCTTTTTTTCCTGGTTTGTGGAACCCACACCATGCTTGCCAGCCAGGCTGTCTCTCTTACCCTGGAGAAGGAAGACTGTAAGTATTATCCAGAGCTAGACATCAACACATCTTTAACTTGGGTTTGTGGGAGTCGATACCAACTACATTAGCTGTCCACCTTGGGACTTCTGACTGCCATGTTGCTGATGTACCTGGTTTTTCCTTTTCTACCTACCCACCCCTTACACCATCCATAATAATTTGTGATTTCAAAATACATGGACATGTACTGAAACCACCAAAAAAGAACGAGGAGTGGACTGCCCAACTGTTTAAAATGCCCGTGAGTTGTGATGAATTCAGGATATGATTTCAGGTCTACAGTTAAGGACACAGGGGCAAAAAACCAAACCAAACCAAACCAAAACAAAAAACCGGGCATTATGCAGACAAATGTCTTTTCCAGAGTAAGGTTTTTTGGTTTGACAATTATCCTGTGGTTTTAAGCACATTTGAGCATGCATGTATCTGCAGTTCTAATCAACATCTGAAAAAGGTTTTCATGTAGTCACGTAATCAGATACACAAGAAAGATACCTGTAGGGAGGAGGACCCACTCTTCCCAATGTCACAGACCACAGGGTGCCCCAGGGCTCGTTCTCTTTAGAACTTGCATGACCCTTAACTCAGCAATTTGAAGGCATTTTAAATTTTCTTCTTTTTACTAGTTACAGAGATACTTTATTTATGTCCCCTCTTCTTGTGGATCCTGTATACTCAAGCTCATCAGTGATCATCTTTTATGCCCCTAACGCCTCACCACAGTCATGAAACAAAGTTCTGATGAGCAGGAGATTTTACTATGAAAATTCACTTCTATTTGTGAACATGACATTTGTTTTGTTCAAAAGGAATATAAGCAGCTGACAGTTCTAGGAACAGTACAGGAAGCTCTGTGCTTCTGCTCAGTGCCAACTCCACATGTGGGGCAGATATTGAGAACAGTCACAAGTAGAGAAAGGGAGACAGGCTGAGTGCATGCACATACCACTCAGTCTTTTGGTTATAGGTGTTTAAACTTAAGGAATCTCAACTCCAGTCCATTTCTTGGAGCCCAGTCAGCTTCTCTGGAGAGATGACCCAAGGCTCTGCCGACCTGACCCTGCTGCAGGAGCTACATTCTGGACCTTTCTGTTTTGTTTTTTTTTTTTGGTATGCAGATCAAACTCAGCTCCTTGCCCTTGTGGAGCAGGTGGCAAAACCACTGAGCTAAAACCCCGGCCCTGGACCTGTTTTGTTAAAACAGTAAAGTTTTCTTGTTGTGTCCACACAAAACCATCACCCAGAGTCCCACTGAGGTCACCACCACCCCATCTATGGCTCAGATTCTCATGTGAAAATCCACAGAAGTTGAGACTCCAAGAGCAAAGAGAGTCTTAGATGTAACCAATGCCAGCTCCGGACAGACATGGACTGTGAGGGAGAGGTCATGGTTCGATAATGCTCTTCTCCAAAGTCCTTCTGATTTGGGCAGAGGCAACCTGAACTCACCTTTAGGGTGTTGCAGCAGCACAGTGGCAAGGGACGGAGAGGTGTAAGGAAAGTAGGTCTTGAATGCAAACCTCAGCTACAACAGGATCAAAAATTCAAAATGGTATTAGTGTCAGGATTGGAAGGGGTTTTAGAAAATGCAAATCCTGCCTCCTCTGCCCAAAAAAGACCCACTGTACTCAGTCAGAATATTTTCTTAAACATTAACAAAAAATTCCAATAACTATAAATATTACCCAGAAAAACAAACCTTTTTAAACTCACCTTTTGGGACTTAAGAAAAACCAAGTTATGCTGTAGATGTCTTTACGAGTTCTATACCTCATATAAACCCAATTATACACATATAAACCTTCCTTTTCAGTCAGAGCTGCCAAAGCAGTTGTGAGCATAAAACATAAAACAACAGTGGTGCTCATGCACTCTGAAAGCCAAAGATCCATAGCTCCCTGTGCCCCTAAAAGGCAGGGAGGCTTTTTTTGTTTTTAAAAAAGATAAAATCTAGACAGCATAAAGTGCACGTATTTTAAGTATACAGTTTGAAGAGAATAGGTGAATGTGTGGTCCATGGGACCAGAATCCCAATTAAGACACAGAACACTTCCATCTCCCCCAAAGTGCCTGTGACTCCTATAGTCAGTCCTTCTACCCCTCCCTGGCAACCAACATTTTTATTTCAATATGAGAGATTAGTTTTGCTTATTTTTGAGTTTCATGTACATGGAATCATACTGTATTCTTTTTAATTTTTCCTGGCTCCTTTGGTTCAACATACATATTTTAAGATTCATCCACACAGCTGGGCTTGGTGGCACATGTAATCCTAGCATTCTGTGAGGCTGAAGCAGGAAAATTGCAAGTTTGAGTCTAGTCTGGGCAACTTAGCAAGACCCTAAGTCAAAATAAAAATTAAAAATAAGGGGTGGGGATGTAGCTTAATGCAAAAGTGCTGCATTTGATTTGATTTGATCCCAGTACAGAAAAAAAGAAAATAATCCATGTTAGGAGTTCATTCTTTTTTTTTTTTTCTCAGAAGTAGTCACTGAATGAATAGACCATAGACCATAATCCACTGTACTATTGACGAGCATTTATATTGTTTCTAGTTTGAGGCATTATGAATAAGCCTACAATTAACGTTTGTATCTGCGTCTTTGTGGAGCTGTGTTTTCACTTTCCTTGACTGAGTATACCATAAGAGAGGAACTACTGAGTCACCGAACGGGTGCTTGCTTACACAGCCATACAGTCTTCCCATGGTTGTATCACTTCAGACATCCAGCAACAGCCTGTGAGCTTCTAGTTGCTCTATATAACTTGCCAACCTCGGTGTTGCCAAGCTAATTCATTTTAGCCATTCCTGTGAGTGTGAAACATTAGTTCACCCATGCCTACTTTCATGGCTGCTTTACTATGCATTTTCCTGTTAGCAGATGATGCTGAACAATTTTCATGTTCAATTTTCATGCCAATTCATGTATCTTGTTTGAAGTATGTGTTCAAGTCTTTTGGCCACTTTTAAAAACTAGGCTGTCAGGAAGCTGTAAGAGTTCGTCATTTGTTCTGGACACAGTTCTCTACTGGATATACGTGCTGTGAATATTTCTGCCTGGTGGCTTGCTTGTGCATTTTCTTAACTGATATCTATCAAAAAATAAGTGTTTTAAATTCTACTGAAGTCTAAATTTACTCATTTTTCTTTTTCCTTTTTGGTACTGGGTATCGAACTCGGGATCTTGTGCTTGTGAGGCAGGTGCTGGAACCACTGAGCTAAATCTCTGGGCCTACTCATTTTTCTTGAATGGTTAATGCTTCTTGTTTTTCTGTATCTCTTCCAGAAAATGTTTGATTATTCCAGTATCAATAAAAGACAATCTACTGTATGGTCTCCTGGAACCACTGTGTTTTAAAATCTGAATGTTGAAGACTATGCCCACTTCAGATTAGTTTCTGTGTGACTTCTGAGGTGGAGATGGAGGTTCATTTTTTCTCATATGGATATCCAGTTACTCCAGTACTATTTGTTAAACCTTCCTTCCCTCCTTTTGAATTGCCCTGGTGCCTCTGTCAAAAATCAACTGTTTACATGTGAGTCTGTATCAGGACTGTTCTGACCTATGTCCATTGTTTTGCCAATTCTTCACTATCTTGATTATTATAGCTTTAAGTATTAAAATCTGGTACTGATTTTTGTTTTACTTTTTTCAAAAAAAGTTTTTTTTTTGATAACAAGGATTGAACTCGGGACCTTCCACTTTCGAGGCAGGCGGTGGAACCATTGAGTTAAATCCCCGGCCCAAAATTCTTTTTCTTTTGGTACCTGGAATCAAACTCAGGACCTTGCACTTTTGAGGCAGGCAATGGAACCACTGAGCTAAATCCTGGGCCCATTTTTCAAAATTGTTCTGGCTATGGCAGATCCTTTGCCATTCCATGTAAGTTTTGGAACCTGCTTGTCAATTTCTTCTTTGGAGGGTGGTGGTACTGGGGATTGAACCTATGGCCTTTGAACTGAGCTACATTCCTAGCCTTTATTTTGACTCAATGTCTTGCTAGTTACCGAGGCTGGGTTTGAACTTGAGAACTTCTTGCCTCAGCCTCCCAGAGGCATTATAGTATGGCATTACAGGTGTGCACAACCACAGCCAGCTTTTCTTTTCCATTTTTTGAAAGCCTGCTGGGACCAACTGGAATTGCATGGAAGCAACTGGTCAGTCAGGTTGGAGAAAAACAGGCATCTAACAGTTCATGAACATGGTTTTGCTTTCCTTTAGTTATTCTCTGCAATGCTTTGCAGTTTTCAGTTAGAAAACTTATATATCTTTTGTTATATTCCTAAGTATTTTATGTGCGACTGGATCTATTTCTTCCTTTACTTTGGTTAGCTTTTTTTAAAATGTATTTTGCAACTCTATTATTAGGCACATGTCCATTTATAACTGGTACTGCTCCTGATGAATGGATCGTTCTGTTATTAGGAAATGTCCCCCTTTCTCTCTGGTAAACTCCTCGCCTAGAAGTCAGCTTCATCTGCTATCAATAGATGGGAACAACATTCAGTTTTCCTATGATTACTATTTGTATAACATATCTCTTTCCTTCCTTTTGCTTTCTATTATCTGTACCTTTATCATTAGAATAGGCCTCTGGAAAACATATAGGTGGTCCTTTAAAAAAATTCTAATCTGATATCCCTGCCTTTTTACTAGAATATCTGGTTAATTTTCATTTACTTTTTGTAATTAATATACTTTTTATTAAGTTTGAGTTTAGGTCCATTTTTTCATGTGGTTTTCTTTTGTCCCATCTGTTTCTTCTGTGCTCTGGCAGCCCACAGCTGTCCCCCCACCCCCACCCCAGGTCGATGGAATTGTGCCTGGCTTCCCCCACTGCACGCGCACACACACACACACAAGCATGCGCGCGCGCGCGCACACACACACACACATACACACACACGATGCGGGAGAAGCAGGCATTTGCTCACAGCCCTGAAGCCTCTCCTGTTTTTGTTCACTTTGTCAGGCCTTTTCTAGTGCCTTCAACTAGATTTCTGAAAATATTCTGCCCTGAGTTTATAATTTCTATCTGTGGGAGACCTAGTCTAGGTCCATATTCTGACTCTGCCACTGCTAGGATTTGTACCTGACCTAACTGGTTGCTTGTCCCGAGGCCTCCTCCAAGCTCAGAAAAAGTGGCTTCTCTGCCACCCTCACCTCTTACCTACTGTCCCATGGGCGCACAGCGATAGACAAAGGCGAGAGGAGAGGGCAAAAGGAAAATGAGGAGCAGCGAATACACAGGAAAGAATGTGGATTAACAAGGCCTCTCTCTTAAACTGCTGCTGGAAGTATACATAGGCATCCCATTTTTAGGCCCCACCTGGCAGGCACTCCTGCTCCTAAGATCTCCCAGACTATCCAGTGCAACGATGTTGGTAATAGTAAACAAAATCTGGGAACAACTCAAATGCCCCTAACCAATCCACTGTGGTACATCAACAATGGACTACTGGACAGTGATGTTGCACCCCAGCAATCTTTGTAACATGTCCAGTGGAAAGAGCAAGCCTCTAAAGACTACGCATAGTATGCTATTCTCTGTTTTACAAAGTACAAAAACAACCAAAACTAAACTAAACATGGTTTTAATGACTGAAGCTCAGAAAGAGAAAAGTCAGGCCTAGACCAAATGTGACAGGGCCTCAGGCTTCAGGACTATAAACATTCTACAGGTGGACTCTCAGGGAGGTAGGGTCCGTGAAGGAGACCAGCCATCAATGGAAAATGCAGACAGGCAGCAGCAGCCCCAGGAAGAAGGGAATCCTGGGTGTATATGAAGGTCTTTGCAAAGGAAAGAGGTCATTGCTCTCTGTCATAGTTACTTTTCTCTTTGCGGAGACATAATACCAAACACCCGAAGTTAAAGGAGGAGAGGTTTATTTTGGCTCACAGTTTGTAGAGGTTTCAGTCCATAATCAGCTGGCTCCAAGGCAGGGTGGCATGGAAGAGGAGAAACAGTTCATGGCAGAAAGCAAGAGGAAGCAAAAGCATCAAGCAGCAATCAACAACAGCAGGGCTCTTTCTGTCACTTCTATCCTATCCAGGCTGCCTGCCCTTAGGACAGGTAGCGCTCCCAGGCAGGGTACCACACCCTTAACCCTTGCATCACACTATGAATCAATTCGAGCATCACATCCTCTAGATTCAGCCACCTCTGAAAACCCCCATCTGTGACCACATGAGGCTTTGGGGGGACATCTGGATGTCCCATAACACTTTCTTATTTTAAGCAAAGGTGATGGTGATTGACTCTTGTTTCTTTTTGGGCCCCTGCCCTGCCTCACACTGGGGCCCAGTGTGTGGCCTCCATGGTCCTACACTCATGTGGCCTGGTCAGGATCCCATTCTACAGAAAAAGCAACTGCAACTCCTTTCCAAATCCACAGCACCCAAGGTCAATGCAGAGATTCAGCAAAGCAGAGAACGAGAGACTCAAGTGAAGGCTGAAGAGCAAAACTGCTTTCCTCATATCCTCTGCCCTAACCTGGGTGTGTCTCAGGAGTCCAAGGTTTGCTGGAGCACAGTTCCTAATTGGGAATATAAAGAATGTATGAAGGGCCGGGGATTTGGCTCAGTGGTTTCGCCACCTGCTGTGCAAGCGCAAGGACCTGAGTTCGATCCCCGGTTCCAAAAAAAAAAAATCCCAGCACAAGAATATATGAGGGAGGACAAAAAATATTTGTAGTTATGCCTCCAAATAATTAAATAATTGTGAGGGCCAACCAATGTCTTTCATCCAAGCTCTCCTCCCAAATTCCAGGCTCGGTACCATTGATAACGCTGTTTGTTATGGTCTAGCTAACTTCCCCAGGGAAAGGGGGGATGGGAAAAATAAATCATAAATATTTATCATTGCCTTAGGAAACAGAAACATCTGCTAAAACCTGAGCTGTTTCTTTGGCTTAGGGTATGTGGGCTTCCAGGAGGGCCATACATCCTAAGCTCTGCCCTCATATATCAAATTGGAGAGAGAATCATAAGGGAGCATGTCATTCTGCACAGGGAAGACATGGGCCCAGGGCCATTCTGAACAAAGTGCTACCTAAGCACTGCCTGTGATCATGAGAAACAAAGGCCAACTATAATACCCCAAGGTGAAAGCTGTCTGGTAGAAAAGTTCCTGTTCCACAAGGTCACTCAGTAAACGGCCTTTGGCACTGGGCACAGTAAATTGCTCAGCCTCTACCAACAGGATCCCAGAGTCCTCTGCTGTTGTGGTTTAGATCTAAAATGTTGCTCAATCTGTGTGGAAGGTGATTGGATCATGAGGGCGCCTTATTCATCAGTGGATTGAATGTGCTGTTAGGAGGTAGGGCCTGGTTGGAGGTGGGTCATTGGGGGCAAGACCTACAGAAGTATACTGTTGTCCCTGGCTCCTCCCTTCTCTCCTTGCTTCCTGGCCACTACAGGATGAAGCCCCTTATTCTCTGCCATGCCCCTCTGCCATCCTGTTCTTGACTTGAGTCAGCCAACCCTGGACTGAGCCCATGAGCCAAAATGACCTCTCTTAAGTTGTGAGTGTATATTTTGTCCCAGCAACAAGAAAGTGACTAAAATATCTGCTTCACTGATGGCATCTGATACACCCCTTAGTCCTTCTCTTCTTTGCTCCTCCTCTACAGTTACTCAGATATTTCCCTGTCCTTGTTTACCCATCTTCTTTCCCTCCTTGATCCATCCAGACTGGGCCTCTGATGGGAATGAAACCGGTAATCACTAAGAAAGGCCAGTATTGCTTTTTGATAAGTAGCATCTCCTACTTTTCACATTCCAGTTAGACTCCAGGATGCCTCTTGCTGGCTGAGGCTCAGGTACAGCCAGAGGGGCAGAGTGTACAACACAAGGTAAGGGAATCAGCTCCGGGTTGACACGTACTGGTACAAAAGAACTCAGATACAGCAGTAGACAGAAGCTTCTAAGCACTAGGGCCTAGGGCAGACAGGAACTACTCTGACTCATTTTCAGTTAAAATGGTTTCATTCATTTGTAAGCTTTCTTTTTGAGCAAAAACAGTCTGTCAAAATTCCTAAACATAGGGCTAGGGCTGAAGTTCAGTGACAGAGTGCTTAGCATGCATAAGGCCCTGGGTTCAATCCCCAGCATCATAAAAAACAAACCAAACAACCAACCAAACAAGTCTGAAAATAAAGTGTTACTTTCAGGTGATTAGCCAAATACTGTTAGTAGCCTCTTTTTCTCTGGGGTTAATGCGCAATACGTGCAAAATAACAAACCTGCTTGTTTTCTTTTTCCAGAGCCTCTACAAAGCAGTGTGTAAACACTTGAGTAGCAGCTAGTACTTCTGGGGCTCCATCAGTTTCTAGGAGTGCACACCTGAACAACACCAAGCCAGAACACAACACAATGAAGGATTAAGGCAGCAAACCCACCAGCCTGAACTGGAATGAAAAGGAAGAATGGAATCACTTTTTGTGCCTTAACCTTCAGCAGTGAATGGAGAAGGAATCTGTTACTCTCTTTTCTAAGTATTTTCTTTAAATTGCAAGGTACAGAGCTCAGAGCTCTCTGTTTATATCTCTGTTCTTGAATCATTAAGCACTGCATGGCCCTTGACACCCTTTCACGGCCTCTCTGCACTGTAGACTGGGACATGTGACATCAGTATATCTGCTTTTGTGAGTAGTGACAGAACTGCCTGAAAAGGTAAAATGGCTCAGTCAAATCCAGCCCAGAGCTGGAGAATCCAGGTGTACCTCACTTGGTTTCCAAGCATTTCCATACAATTAACTTTTCTTTATGTTTAAGCAAAAAAGCCAATTGAAACTTAGCTAGCTTTAACTTAGAAACACATTCCTGCCTTCTTATTTCTGTGGTCATTTATAAGTGGCTTATGGTTGGTCTCAAGAAGATTCCAAGTGGTAATTTGTTGTTATACAATTTCTATAGACCTGCCGTGGGTAGGTAGGGCAGGATGGAGGCAGATCCCCACCCAGATGCCCAGTGCAAGAGAGGCTGTGAACATTTGTGGGTGACAAGATTCCCCAAGGGATCAGTATTAGGACTCCATGGCTGGCACCCCCATGCCACAATCTAAACTAGTATGCAGGGACCACCTTGCCTCTTACCCACTGTGAATCCAACATACTTCCCAGGAAGGACTCACAATGTCAAAGTAAAAGTTAACACATTGTAAGATAACACGCATGGTTCACCTGCTTTTCAGGAAAAATCTGTTAAGAATGGCTTTGTGTTTCTTTTTCTCGACTTTCCTTAGCTTGAAAGTCTTTTACAAAGATTGGTCAGCCCTCATGTGGTAAAGGGAGTATACTGCTACAATTTATTCTGAGGTGAGAAAAATCCTGTCTATTTCATAATAAAAATATGTAATTCAACTCTGCTTTTCTGTATTATTATTATTAGAATTTTAAAAGGTTAAAGAAAAAAAGTAATCTTAATTCTTAGGCATAGACTTTTAAATATATATTGATTTTGAGTTTCTACCTCTAATTAATAAAAAGCTCAGTGAGATAAGAAGGAATAAAAAATTCTAACTTCTCCATGGTGCAGCCAGAGGCTACTATAGATTTTTTTATTCATGTTTGGAAGCTGAGCATTTTTAGATCAACTGCTAGCAGAAACAGCATAGTATTTACCTGAACATTTCATCAACAACTCTGAATATGGCAGGGTGGCAGGCTGCTTGAGGCTGTAAAACAAAAAGACCATAAGAAAGTAAAACGTTAAAGATATATCATAAGAACTTGCAATTATCAAATGGATGAACTGTTTAGACCTTCCATATAGGGCATATTTCTTTGGGTGAGAAAAAGAACAACTGGTATGGGGGGGGGACCAGGTAAACACGCAAACAGTAGTTCTCTTTGGCAAGGGATTATATAGGCAAACTTAGTTTTCTCTTTGTACTCTTGGATGTCCCACATTTTCCATAATAAGCCTGTATTATCCAGAAAAAGTTTAATGGCAATTCTTTTACCAGTATGCCAGAATGAAGACACAGAGCCTACCCATGTTACTAATTTTTCCTAAGTGTGCCCCTGTGTCTGACCTCAACTCGCCTGGAAGTATCTCAAAGTCAGGTCTTGGTCTGTGTTCCTGGGCATTTAGCACTAAGTCCGTAACCATTTAGAATTATTACTAAGGAAACCAGTAACCCCTACCATGGTGGACTAAACAACATCATATTTAGTGCTCTGTTAATTTAGCAGCTTCAATTGTGTGGTAGGAAGAGGGTTAATGAGAGTGGGAAAAAAAATGATACCATTATCCTGAATGATGAAAAATAGCTAGCTTATTCTTAGACTATTTTTGTAATCCGCAGAAGCTGGTCTCCTGTAACCTGGGCAGGGGCCTTAACGGGCCTGAACAAGTTTCATCTTTTTTGGCCAGAGCTCAGAGCAAGAGCTGATGCAGATGGCCATATGTTGTAAAACATATTTTAGGGTGGCATCCAAATGTTAGTGGGTTAGGCTCTAATGGGAATTTCTTCAATAATATTACACTTGATATAGCTTTGTGAAACATCTTTCATAGTCTCCATCAACAAGGTAAAAGAAGACAGGGTATGTCTGCTTCTACAACTTTCTCCTCTTTCCTGAAGAAAGTGCGCTACCACCCCTGGGGCTTCCCTCTTTTTTATTCTTCGAGCCTGGCAATGGAACTTGTGACATTGAGTGCGCGCCATCTAGTGTCTTCAGGCCGCCACTACGGGACACAGAAGGCTCCAGGCAAAAGCATCGCCCCTTGTTCAAACGATGGGGTGATGGCTTTCTTATTTGAAGGAGAGATTTGTAATTTGCAAGTTTAAATATGTGACTCTCTAAATAGTGATCCATGACCTCTAATCCATCACCGATGTGCATTTTTATCTAAAAGAAACCAACTTGAAATTCTCAGATAAATGTATGACCTACTTAAGAAAGTTGCTCAAGGGCCCTGGATTTAGCTCAGTGGTTCCACCTGCCTCGCAAGCACAAGGTCCCGAGTTCGATCCCCGGTACCAAAAAAAAAAAAAAAAAAGAAAGTTACTCAGCAGAGCAAAGGGAGGTTAGTTCTTGGCTTTGATCTCAGCCAGTCAGTTAATCTTTTTCCTTCTAACCCTCACTGTAAATAATAAATAGTTATTGAGGTTACTGGACACATGCCCAGAAAATAGCACAAAAGTTTCAATGTTTTCATAATGGGAAAAAAGCAAACAAGGGAAAAGAAGACTGCAAGTCTTAAAGAAATAGGATTCAGCAAAGTTTGTCAGAACTTAATTTTTCCAAATTTCTGCAGAAAAGTGTTTAATTTCCAACAGTATTGCTATATGGACACTCAGAGCCTGAAAGCACACCATAGAAAATAAGATCAGAGCCAAGCGTGGTGGCACACGCCTATAATCCCAGCACTCAGGAGGCTGAGGCAGGAGGACCACTATGAGCTGGAAGCCAGCCTCGGCTACATCATGAGTTCAAGGCCAGCCTGAATTGCATAGTAAGACCCCCGTCTCAACCCTCCCCTGCAAAAGAAAATAAGATCAGAATTGGAAAAGGTATAATAAAACAATTCTAAATGGCCTAAGTACCCTAGAGCCCCTTTGCAGGTTTGGTGCTACTGAGGATCACTCTAAATGGCAAAAGACAAGGATGATCCAAAAGGCAGACTGGGGCTGCCATAAGAACCATAGTGGGGAGCAAATACAGAGGTTCTTACTCAAGTACAGAGGTTCTTACTCTTTCAAGACAAAATGAGAGGTTGGACACACTTCTCTCTTACATAATGTTTTCTAGCAAAACAGCTCAATCTAATGTTTCAGATATCTCCAGGCTGTGTAGAATCTACCTGTTCTCCTCATGCAGATGGACTCTCCATTTAGATTTTTTTCTTTCCAAATATTTCAGACCCATGGTTACTCTCAGCCTGGTTCCACAACCTGTCTTTGCTTTTATATCAGGAAGGAGGCCGAGATATCCAGGCTGTTCTCTGCCATCTGCATGTTTTAGAGGCAGTTAAAAAAAAAAAAAAAAAA